CCACGAAAACAACAACAACCACCACCACCATCACCACGATAACCACCACGACAACAACGACCACCCCAACAACTACAACAACCACAACCGCCACCACCACCACCACCGCCTCACCTCTCGAGCACGCCGGATGTCCGACCGCCTCCCACACACCCCCGGGGCCACGAGCCGCGACACCGTGCCGAGGGCGTTCTTCTGCAGCTCCAGCGGGAAAAAGTCGAAGAACGCCAGGCAGGCCTTGGCGCCGCCAGCCTCCAGGACCGCGCGGGGGTTGTCCTGCGCAAGACGAAAAAAAAAAAAAACTCCTGTGTGACATTCTACCATCAGCATATTTTACTCTTATGTCAAACAAATTCTTCGAGAGGCGTCAAAATTCTCCAGGACCGCTCGGGGGTTGTCCTGCGCAAAGACCACGTCCTGGTCCCCTGCTGTAGCACCACCAGAGTAAAACAAAACACACGTAAACCCCTCGCAATATAAAGAGCAGCAGTTACGTCCTTGCGCCCAAGAACGGACGGACGAAACCGCACCTTCGATAGGAGGTCCAAGACTTCAGGCAGGCCTCAGCCACTTCCATGCCAAAACAAAAAAGCATCATGAAAAAAAAATAACCGAAAAATACAAATAGAGCAGCAGCAGCTCAAGCTCTTCGCCGAAACAACGGACAGACCAAATATACCGCACCTTTGACAGGAGGTGCAGGCACTTCAGGCAGGCCTCGGCAACGTCCATGTCCTGGATCTGCAGGAGCCGCTTGCACATGGGCTTGACCGCGCCGCTCGCCACCAGGCTGCCCGCCGCGCGGGGAGTGATGTCGATGCACGTGATCAGCGCGCGGATCGCCAGCAACACCACCTTTATGTTTTTTTCGTGCGAGAAGGGGTGGGGCGCAGCGAGGCACGCAGCAGGGGGGGGATTAATATCCATGCGCGTGATTATGTCGATGCACGTGACCAGTGCGCGGATCGCCAGCAACGCCTCCTTTCGTTATTGTGGGTGGGAAAAGCAATGGTCCAGCGCGCACCGGGGGGAGGGGGGGGGAGGAGCAGGGTAGGGGGCGTCATGGCCCCTACTGCAGCAAAAGGGTACATCGAAAATTTGCATAGCGGCGTTTGTCTGCGCGGAGGAAGTGTGTGCAGGCATGCATGTCCTCGGGAAACGGCGCTCAGATACCAACAAAAACGTCCCAAAGGGCACCTGGTGTCGTTGCGGTAATGTGGATGAGAATGGTCCCCGAGGAGGCGCGTGTTTCAAGGAGGCGTTTACGGGGAGGGGGGGAGGGGGGGGGACTCATAGTCGTGCATGCCGTAGTCGTTAGAATGCCCCGCTTTTTACTGCACAAACGGTGTGACCACGGATTTAGAGCTCCTAACGGCAGCCACCGCAGGGGGAAAGGTAGGGCAACTAAACAAAAACGAACGAATGAAAAAAGCTCCGGTGTGACCGTGCTTGCGTGACCCCGGGTGATACGTACGTCGGGTATTTACATATTGCACGCCGAAAGACCTGTGAACCGGCGCCAGAATGGATGGGACGAACACACACAACACGCACACTGAGACTGACGTCTTTTCATTGGTCAGCCGGATAGCGCGGTCGATGCAAATACAACGAAGACACACACACACACACATACACACACATGCCTCGCAGAAACGCTGTAAGCGCTCATTTGAAGTGATGGAACAAAACGCACCAAAACAACACAACAAAGAATGGCTGCCAAAAATAAGTGGCAACCTGCACAGCGATGCCACTGTACTGCATAGCACGCTTGTACAACCGTGGTAGCGTATATGCGTGGGTTTGCTGAAATAGCGTCGACCGCGCTGACCGGCTGACCAATGAAAAGACGTCGGTCTCCGAGCGGTTGAAAACACGAAACGCTTCTAAATGCCATGAACTGGAACCCCGTGAGGGGGTGGCATGGGGGATTACTAAATCTAGTCTCCGTAGCAACAGAAGAAAACTGCACACGTCTACTTGTGTGTGCGTTTTTATTATTAGCATCGACCGCGCTAACCGGCTGACCAATGAAAAGACGTCGGTCTCATGGCGCGGTAAAAAACGCAGGCACGCTCTCTTAAGTCAATGGGGTCTACCGAGATGGGGTGTGCGCAGGAGCTGGAACGGGTGTCCTGTTCCGTGTGTGCGTGTGTGTTCTCGTACATAGTTAGCACCGACCGCGCTACCTTAACAGACTCGAACCCACCCCGTTGTTGGCCGGGAAAGATATGCCAACAGGTATACATGATTTCTCGATTTTCATGTTGACTGTGGGCACACCTCGTTAAACAAAAAAAAGAAAAAGAAAAAGAAAAAGAGCAAACAGCGGGAAGGGGCGAGACCGACCCGAACCCACCTCGTTGTTGGCCGGGAAAGATATACAAACAGATACATATGATTTCTCTATTTTCATGTTGATTTCTGGGCACACCTCGGAAAAGAAAAGAGGAAAAAAAACAGCAGGCAAGGGGAGAGGCAGACTCGAACCCACCTCGTTGTTGGCCCCCGACAGCAGGGGGACGAGGGTCTGGATGACACCCCCCACCCTGTTCTGGCTGGGGTGACCCGACGCCATGGTGAGGGAGGTGTTCAGCTCGTGGAGCACCGCGATCTGCTGATCCACTCCCGGCCGAGCCTGTCGGTTTTTTTTTTTTTGTCAGTCGCGGACGCACGCACACGCGTTATCATTTGGTCCGTCGGTTCGTCAGCGCGTTCGATATGCCAATCAAACGAACCATAAATGTCGTATTTGGTCGCCGCGGCATGCACACACACGTAACGTCAGGTCAGCCGGTTTGTTAGACCGGTCAAGATGCCCGATAATTCAACACACACATGCACGTGCACGTATTTACACACACATGCCGTTCATGAGTGTTCTGTGTTTTCAACCGCACTGAGATTGGCGTCTTTTCATCGGGCAGCCGGTCAGCGCGGTCGATGCTGATAATAAAGATGCGCACACTCTCGTCGCCACTACCACAGCTATTTTGCGGCAGTTCTTCTCTAGCCCTGCGTCGTGTGTTGTGAGGTTGCCACGGGGCGTCATCGACACCAGTCATCTATACCTTGGGTTGCCTACCACTTTCTGGACATGGTGCAGCTTTAATCAACGCGACACTTTCCGAACTTTTGATTGTCATCCCATTTACTTGGACGTCGGTCTTACCACCTCTCGGTGCAATTTCTGGGGCACCATCCGGGGTTCACCATTCAAAGAACCATTCGCTTCGATCGAGGAATGCCTTTTTTTCTCTTGTGTTTCGTTTTCATTTCAAGGTCCGAGACACCCCCAAACAAAACGAGCAACCAAAACGTGCGACACATACCAGGGAAACTGCGGCAAACAACGCGCTTGTATTGTTGCTACTCGTGTTCACTTCAAGGTCGAGAGACGCACAAACAACAAATAGAGCAACCCAAACGCGCAACAATCAAGACAACCACCGCCTCAGAACAACGTGTGAATTACATGTACCTTATGTCAACATTTCAAGGCAGAGCAATCGCAGCATGCAACGCTTAAAAAGAATCACGTTCTTCGAACAACGCGTTATTTCTGTACATTTTTCGTTTTCATCTCAAGGTCGAGACACGCACAAACAAAAATAACACAAGAGCAACCGAAAAAACTACAACGACGACGACAGCAATGACGGACGGGCCTGGTCACCTGCAAGACGTGCAGTAGCTGCTGGATGCTCGACATGGTGGCCGACGCTCGAAATCACACGCGCCCTTGCGCTTGTTGTTGTTGTTGTTGTTGCTGCTGCTGCTGCTCTTGCTGCTGGTGCGACCGCTGCTGTGTTCGTCCGTCCGGCTGCACAGTGTTGTCACCGCCGGCTGCACGCCGGGCTTTCTTGTGACGAATAATAAAGCAGCAAGAGAAGAGAGGGCACGCGTACGGGGGGGGGGGGGCAAAGGGAAACGTTTAATGGGGAATAACGGGTTGGGGGAGGGTTGAAAAAAGGGAAAAAAACACCCAAAAAGGGGGGGAAAAAGGGGGGGGGGGAAAAAAAACCAAAAAAAAAAAAAACCTAAAAAATAAAAAAAAAAACCGAATTTCCGATGGGGATA